TATGAGTATCCCCAAATAATGAGTTATATCGGGGTGATATACTGAGTCAGATTGCACTGCTGCTGTTGAGGATGATCAGGACTTCCTGATGTCCAACCTTCTGAGTCTCTCTGTTGCCTCAGTTTCCCTTTAAAGTTATTTGTTTCCCCTTTTCTTTTTTGAGAAACCAAACCAAACTGACAGTTTTCTGGGAAGGTAGGAATAATTCTGCAGAAATCTTTCAGGAAAAACTGGAGTTTGTACAATTCTGAAACAGTTATACCCAGGTGGTGGAAGATTTCGAGCCTTTCAGGACTCTTCCCAGCCCAAACTCTTTTCTGTGCTCATTGAGCAGTTTTTGTCTGCCTTGAATGTGTCCTTGAATAATGTTTGATTGTTTATAAGAGATTGTTTAAACCACCAACTTGTTTGGGGGAAAAAATATTATGGGGGTGTGCAGTGCGTTTTTCTGGGATTGCTCAAGGGTATGTAGTACCTCTCTGCCCCCAAATGTTTAAAGTGTGACACTTACGGTAACAACTTAATGGAGAGTACCGGCACCTTTTTCCCTAAAAGAACAAAAGCACTGAGTAAAATCATTTACATATCATAGAATCATAAAACGCAGAACACATGACCAGCACTTAATCAAATTAATTCTCTAAAAAACACTTGGCAAAACCAGGATTTTGTGCCCACTTTCCACAGGAACATTGTGGAAATGGCTAGCACTGCTTGATTCATGTAGAAACTAAATTTATATGTCTCTTGGATGGAGGTGCAGGGAATGTCTTGCTGTGCTTAAAAACCTCTGGTTTTTGCATGCTTCCAATATCACCTACAGGGACGCGGGTGGCGCTGTGGGTAAAAGCCTCAGCGCCTAGGGCTTGCCGATCGAAAGGTCGGCGGTTCGAATCCCCGCGGCGGGGTGCGCTCCCGTTGCTCGGTCCCAGCGCCTGCCAACCTAGCAGTTCGAAAGCACCCCCGGGTGCAAGTAAATAAATAGGGACCGCTTACTAGCGGGAAGGTAAACGGCGTTTCCGTGTGCGGCTCTGGCTCGCCAGAGCAGCGATGTCACGCTGGCCACGTGACCCGGAAGTGTCTCCGGACAGCGCTGGCCCCCGGCCTCTTGAGTGAGATGGGCGCACAACCCTAGAGTCTGTCAAGACTGGCCCGTACGGGCAGGGGTACCTTTACCTTTACCTTTAATATCACCTACAGCATGAGATACATCTGCTGCCCGCCCACTGCTTGCCATTGGCCCCACCCACTTTTGCCCTCCAGCCCTGCACATCACCAACACGTGGCTCCTGGGAGGAGCTAAAACCCTTGGGCTGACAAGGGCTCCACTCCACCCCTGGTCTATGGACCTTTTGAAAATCTAATATGAAAGGTTAAATTGGGACACTATCAGGGGCGCCGACTTATAAAAAATATTGGGGGGCCCATACCGGGGTCCTGCCCCGGGAAGTTTTCTAAGTTCCAATGTCAGTGGCGCCCGGCAGAGCAGCCCTCTCGGCCACGGCAGCCCGGCTCTCCCAGCCCCCGGGGGCCGCCCTCCTCCCTCGTGCACCCGCAGCGTTCCCGCCCGGGGAGGCGGCGCCCCCAAGGACTCAGGTTCGGTTGTACCTGAGAAGCCGAGCACCTTGGCTCCCAAACAAATCGGCTTCTGAACAATCGAAACCCGGAAGTGAGTGTTCTGGTTTTCAAATGATTTTTGGAGGGCGAACATCCGGTGCGGCTTCCGATTGGCTGCAAGGGGCTCCTCTGGCAGAAGCCGCACTCTGGTTTTCAAATGGTTCCGGGAGTCGAATGGACTCCCGGAACGCATTCTGTTCGAGAACCAAGGTACAGTGGACGCTCGGGTTGCGAACGTGATCCATGTGGGAGGCACGTTCGCAACCCGCAGTGTTCGCAACTCACATTGCTGCGTCTGCGCACACACAGGTTGTGATTTAGCGCTTCTGCGCATGCACAAGTGCCGAAACCTGGAAGTAACCCATTCCGGTACTTCTGGGTTTCAGTGCATCCATAACCTGAAAATGCTTAAGCTGAAGCATCTGTAACCCGAGGTATGACTGTATGTACCAGTCCTAAGGAACTGGCCAAGTAAGGCAATCAGCATCTGCAGGTCCCTTGACAGACAGGAGAGAAGCCACACTCTTGGATTTCTGTTGGTAGATGCCTCTTCCTGAGATGCTTGTATTATGCTAATCATAGAATCATAGAGACAGAAGGGACCCCAAGGTCATCTAGTCCAGCCCCCTGCAATGCAGGAATCTTAGCTCGAGCATCCCTGACAGATGGCCACCTAGCCTCTCCCAGGGAGCAGAGACCGTCTGAACAGCTCTTATTGTCAGAAAGCTCTTCCTGATGTTGAGTCGGAAAAGTCTTTCAAAGCTGCTGCACACCTTTGTTTGGGGTCCTCCCCTCCTTGCAAATGTCAGTGGGAAGGGGGGCTCTGTTTCAACAGAAAAATAAAGATTCCCCCTTTCTTCCAGCTTCCACTCATTCGTCTCCGACTGATAATGGACTTGGGAGGCTTTGAGCCCCTTGGGGAGCTGAGCTGTAAAGGACAACCTCCAATTTTCATGCATCAGAAGGAGCCCAGGAGCCCCATCGGGGCTTACCCTGCGCAGGCTGGTTCCCCCCACACACAAACACACACACTGGGTTGCAATTTTGTGGGTCAGCTTTGGCTGGGAGAGGCAGCCCCCCGTTAAGTCTCTGCCAGCCCAATAGCACAGCCCCCCCCCCGCCAAGTCCATGGCAGGAGACAGGCAGCAGCACCCAGACCCCAGAGGCTGCCCTTGGGACTGGCGTTCCCACACTGCCGCCTCCGCAACAAAGGCCAGCGGCCAAGTCCCCCCCCCAGCCGCTTCCTTGGTCCCACAGGAAAGCCAGGCAGGGGCTGCACATCCTGCCCTCCGCCTCTTCCTGCTGCCCCCAACAGACAACCAGGCCTGCAAGCTTCCTCTTCTGACATCGCCCAGGCCCCCACGCAGCCCCCCATCAGCAAAACGCCCAGGAGTTTGAAGGGACCCGAGGGCCACGCAGCCAAGGGGTCTAACTCTGCAGGGAAAAGCTTCCTGTCTTTCCTCTGCCCCCTCCCCACCGGAAAGGGATGGTGGCTGCAGGCTCTGCCCCCCCCCTTAACATCTGCAAAATGATTAAGGCTGATACATTGTGTTACAGGATTTTATCTAGGTAACTTCCCTGAGCTGTCAAGTTGAAAGGGTACATTCAGGCATAATATTTGCAACATTTAACAACTTTAAAGATGTGCTCCCCCTGTAATTTCCATAACAGTTGGAAGGTCAAAAATATAACCTCCTATGACAACTCCTGCAACCCATGAGCTTTCAGACAAAGATCATGCATGGACAAATGTAAAGATCTTTGGAAAGTATTGATCGAAACCACAGTAACAAACGAATCAATGTATCTTCAAGGGAAAGAATAAGTAGATCCATTTGCATATATAGCTCTGTAGGCTTAATTATATTCCATTGCTATTTTGTTATTGCTCTTTTCCTCTGCTTCTATTTATTTTTAATGCATGTAACCTTTTTATTCCCCCTCCCCCCCCGCCAATTTAACTCCTTGTAATACTCTCAATAAAATATAAGGAAACAAGAAAGGAGATTCCCACAAAACATTAGGAAGGCCTTTCTGGTGGTGAGAGCAGTCAGACAGGGGAAGGGGCTTTTAGGGAGAGGTCGGGGGGGGGTCTGCCAGGGATGCTTTAGCTGTGAGTCCTGAATTGCTGGGGGTTGGACTGGATGACCTTTGGGTCCCTTCCACCTCTATGATTCAAAGACCTTTAAGGGAAGTCACCTCCATCTTCCTCTCAGAGCAGATGCCCACAAGCCCTGGGCGGGAAGAGCCAGAAAGAGAGAGAGAGAGAGAGAGAGAGAGAGAGAGAGAGAGAGAGGAGGAGGACATTCCTAAGAACCGGCAGCTCAGCTCTCGCCTCCCTCCAGGAACCAGAAAAGCCAGTTTAGGGCTCAGATCTTTCCCACAGGCCTTTCTGAGTTCTTCTCCGGGGACACCCCAGGATGGCCAGAGCGTCACAAGAACCGCACCAGACATTCACCAGACCCCAAATCTTTCCCCCTTCCTGGCCTGAGAGGCTGCAAATTCTACCTGCCTTCCCCCCTCCAGTTGATCAACACACAGAGATGCAGGTGGCCAGGGACCCACCTGTGCACACCTGAGCCTGCAAGGGGCAGCCAAGCCCCCTTCACCGCCTGCCCCCCCCACCAGCCCCCTCTCCCCTCCTCCCTAGGCGGCAGCTCCGCCATGACCACAAACGGCGGCGGCAGCAGCAGCCGCGCGCGGCCCAGGCTCCCCTCACCGGCCACGGGATCCAAGGCGCGCGACGAGGGAGCCAAGGCGCGCGATAATTTTCTTAAATTATGTCAGCGGCGCCCGGCAGAGCAGCCCTCTCGGCCACAGCAGCCCGGCTCTCCCAGCCCCCGGGGGCCGCCCTCCTCCCTCGCGCACCCGCAGCGTTCCCGCCCGGGGAGGCGGCGCCCCCAGGAGAGGCGGCGGCGGCAGCAGCTGCCGCGCGCGGCCCGGGCTCCCCTCGCCGGCTGCGGGAGCCAAGGCGCGTGACGAGGGAGCCAAGGCGCGCAATAATTTTTTTAATTATTGGGGGGGCAGAGCCCCCCCAATAAAATTTTTGAGGGGGCTCGGGCCCCCTCAGGCCCCATGGAGTCGGCGCCTATGGACACTATCCATAGGAATCAATTACTGTATTTGCATTCCTGTTTGCTTTTCTTGAAATCATAGGGTTGGATTCAGACTTACATAACTCAGAGTACACCTACTGAAATCAGTAGGCCTTAAGTTACCGGACTAAGTCTGGATCACTCCATAGTGAATTTGTAAATGTGATATGAAGCCATTCAATAAAGACTTCTTTTCTTTTTTAGTTTTAAAAATAAATTATGGATGTTGAAGTCTGCTGTCCCATGTAATGCTTTGCTCAGTGGCTGTTGTTTCACCTTTTGTCCCAGGATAAACAAGGATCAAGAAACAAGCCAGCAGCTGTCTCCCTTAGGTGCAGAACGAAGGGGATATGGAAGGAGTGCAGGGGGTGCTGATTTTGGCAAAGCTAATCAAAGCCCTTCCTTCGGTACCCAAAGACCAGATTATGGGAAACCCATTTCAAATGAGGAGTTTTTCACTCTCCAAAAGTTAGGAGCTGTGTCTCCATCTATTACGAGAAGGATGTCCTCTCCAGCAGTGGCAGAAGAGATGTTATCAAGTCCTTTGTCCCCTTCTGTGCTCAAAAGGGTGTCTCCTTCAGCAGAAGACAAGTTGTCACACTCCTCCTCTGCACTTTCTGAATATGTTGAAGAGCTGCGAAGAAAAAGACTGAAGGACAAAGAGCCAGGGAACTTAGTGTTAGATGATGCCTCCTCTTTGCCTATTTACCAAACAACAGGAGCCTCATCCCTTAGAAGATGCAAGACTTTGAAGGATGATGAAGATCTCCCAGTAACTCTGGAGGGAATTGGTGAAAGTTCTCGAGCTGGCCTGGTCCGCTCCTCTAGTTTGAGGAGCATATCATCTGAGAGCATGGCACGGCCAAACCTCTCCCCAGCTCTGAAAAGGGTCTCCAGGTTTGGGTCCTATGACTCTCTCATTCAGAACATAGATGACACCTACTCAAAGCTCAGCTCCCCAGCCCTGGGTGGAGAAATGTTTAGCACTTTGCGACTTAAACCATGGAGAAGTTGCCTGGAGGCATCCCTGGAAGAAACGACAGACACAGACCTAGGAAAAGAACCTCTGGTCTTTCAGAACAGAAGATTTGGTGATGTTCCAAGTGAGGGAAAGGAAACTGATCCACTCTCTTGGAAAATACCAACTCTGAGCTATGAGAGGAAAACGAATGATGACTCAGATGACTTCCTTCCAGCCGTCCGGAAATGCCAGTCAACCAGCAGCTTGGCCAGAGGCCCCAAAGAGAGGAGAGACGGCCAGAGGCCCATGAGTGTCCGTTTTGAAGACCAAGTCTCGCCCAACCACACTTTCCTCTCTGAGATAAAGGCCACTTTATCACCAAGTCCAAAACCCCAAGAGGACCCTGGAAACCTCTCTGACTCGTCTTCGTCTTCTGGCTCAGTTGTATCTTTCAAAAGTGCTGACAGCATCAAGAGTCGGCCAAGGATCCCGAGGCTGGAAGGGGAAGGATGTGTTGGGAAAAGAAGCCCGGAGGGTGCAAAAGATGACTGGCGGTCTGAAGCCGAGGGGAAGGAAGATGATGTAAACAGTATCATGATGAAATACCTAGGAAAAGACTAAGGTAAAGTGCTGGCATCTTTCATTTCATTTTTTTCATTTCACTTTTAATTTCTTTCTATATTACTATACACAAGGCAGTTTAGAGCAATATATAAGGAACACACCTTATAATAATCTGATCCAATACAAAAAGTCACAGTAAAACATAACTTTAAAATAGAATGACTTATAACAAATAAAGTAATATTCAACAATCTGTTAGAATAGTACACAATAAAATTAACTCTCAAACCACCAGCAAATAATAATTAAACAGAATTTCACTCTTAACCATTACAATAAATGATTACTAAACTATGATGAATAAAAATGACTGCAAGTCACAATGCATAAAATACCACAATGCATAAAATAGCACAAATTGAGCAACAAAGACCCACAAAACTATTTCCCCCTTTCCCCTTCCCAGCTGCTTCTGCTGTTCTTACAGTCCTGCCCTAGGAGAGGCTACTTGCTCAGCTGGGCTTGGTTGAGGTTGGGGAGGCAAGGCTCTTTCTCCCTTCTTTGCACTTCCTCACTGAGGAAGCAGACTTCTACTGGATTACTTTAGAGTCTTTCTATAGGTTTTCTTTTTGTAGACTTTTCCAAACAACTTCCAGCCAGGAGCCCTCTGGACAGCAAGTTTGCATTCCTCTGTCCTTTTAGTAAAGGAGAGATGAGTGGATTCTGCACACCAGTTTTCCTTCTAATAAGTGTTCATAGAATCATAGAATCATAGAATCATAGAGTTGGAAGAGACCACAAGGGCCATCGAGTCCAACCCCCTGCCAAGCAATACCATTGTGCCAATACCACAATATTGTGCCAATACCAATATTGGTGCAACTATTGTGCACTGCTCTGGTTCGCCAGAGTCCTGCTGGCCACATGACCCAGAAGCTGTACACCGGCTCCCTTGGCCAATAAAGCGAGATGAGCGCCGCAACCCCAGAGTCGGTCACGACTGGACTTAATGGTCAGGGGTCCCTTTACCTTTTACCAAATGTCTCCAGGTCCTTCATACTTAGGCAGGGGTTCATGTGCCCAATTGCATTCTTTACAGAGTGATTTTCTTGGCTTGCACCATCTGTGCAGCAAGGGGGCAACGGCTGCATCCACACAATGCCATTATTCAAAGCACCTTCTTCCTTTCAAAGAATTATGGGCACTGTAATTTACCCCTCACATAGCTGCAATTCCCACAACCACACAACAAACTACAGTGCCTGGGATTCTTTGATAGAAAGAATGTGTTTTGAATGAGTGTGTACCCAGCCATAGTCTCAGTAGTTTCTCCACAGCTCCACAGCCAGAGCATTTTCTAAGAAGTGTTGCAAGATCTTCTGGTTTGGCCTGAATTTTTTAATGTTAATGAAGCTGAACGTTTGAAGATTAAGACAGGGAAAAGAAAGTACTTATTCACACGGTATATAGTTAAACTAGGAAACTCCCTCCCATAGGAGGCCGTGATGGCTCCCAACCTAGACGGCTTTAAAAGAGGATTGGACAAATGGATGGAGGAGGAGAGGACTATTGAAGGTCACAAAGGAGTCGATGCTCTTCCTCCACAGTTGAAGGCAGCGATGTTTCTGACTGCCGGTTGCTGGGGCCCCCAGGGTGGGAAAGGGCTCTTTTGCCTGTGAGAAGAGGATGTTGGGCCACATGGGCCCCCACTGGCCTGATCCAGCGGGCTCTACTTATGTTCTTATACTTTTATACTTTTTGTGTGGATGCAGTTCCATGGGAAGTTTTGACTTAGTTTCAAAATTTGCATTTTTATAGCTCTTCCCTGCAGGCCCAAAGACTGGGGTGGGGGTGGCCATATAAGTCAATGTGCACATAAATAGAAGTACAGTACTCTTCTGTACACACAAAGCTTTATATGGGAAAGCAAGCTCTAGAGGTGTCGCATCACACACATTGGAGTTGGTTTGTTTTTTTGCTCAAAGTGTCCACCAGCTCCAAATGTTTCCATTTCTTGGTCATGTCTGCCATTTGGATTTATTTCTCCAACTTCGGTTGGAGCTCCAGCTCCCAGATGGATGGACACCCCACTGCTGCAGTTAAGTGCTTAAAACACATTAGAAAACATTTTGCAAGGAGGCTGCCTTTGGAGGACATTTTCACAGGTCCTGCTGTGATCAAAACTGCTGAAGCAACACCAGGCAGCTTGGATGTGTTAATGAAACATTTCTTTATAGGAAACACCGTCTACATAACTGAAAGAGCCGTGTTTGTGTGTGTGTGACTTTTGTTTGAAGTCAGTTGCAGGGAACTGGGGTTTTAGTGGGGAGGAGATGGAAACTTACTCTCATCCCTGGAATCTGTTGCCCCAAAAGTGTAAAGATGGAAAGGGCAGCCCAAAGCAGTTGTGGAGGGATTTTTCTTTTTTAAAAAATGCAAAACAAAATATACAAGTGAAGTTGGAATGTACATTTTACAATGTCCCCCACCCCCTAACTACGGTGCTTCTGATCCTTGTTACAGAAGCTCTGAAGAATCTACAAATATTGGGGGGGGGGGGCAGAACAGCAGGTCTTATGAGTGAGATAGCACAATACAGCACACAAAGCTGGCTTTAGGCAGTCATTCAAACCCACCAGCTACTGTAAGCTCCCTCCATTCTAGTCTGGACGATGCAGCCCCTGTGTCCTTTGCATTCACCCCGGATGAAATGTGAAAAGCAAGGCAACTGGAGTGGGTATCTTTAAAATAGTTTCAGCCACCCACCTCCATAGCATTTTGGAACTGGGTGAGACCTTAGGAGGTCATCCAGCTTAACCTGCTTGACAGATGGCTGCTTGGCCTCTGCTTAAATGCATGTGAAGGTTCTTACTCTGCCAAGAAACTCCTCCTGTTAGCAAGTTTTCCTCATGCCTAGAAGAAATCAGCTTCATTGCTGCAATTTCCACTCAGAACAAGCCTGCTCCCTCCTCCTTGTGACAGCCCTTCATATACTTAAGGCCATCTGCCATTGGCTCACACACTCTCCAGCTGCTCATACTATTAAGCAACCTGCACAGCTCTTTCATGGGACTTGGTTTCCAGACTCTCCACCTTCCTGGCATCCCACCTCTTGATACATCTGGGTTGGTCACTGTTCTTCTTGAAATGTGATGCCCAAAACTTGACAGGACAGGACTATGACTGTTAGTGATCTGGCCACTATGTCAAAATCATTGCTGGCTGGGGCTGATGTCAAAAACATCTGGAGGGCACCTGGTTGGTGAAGCTGGCATCCACTTTGCTGAGATGAGATGATTTGTTCCATCTGCCATGCTTTAATATTCCTAATATCAATTGTAGTTTCCTCTCCTTAGCTTGCTGGCAGATGAGCTCATTAAGAGCCAGTTAAGAAATTAAATCTGAGCAGCTCAGATTTTCGCAAATGTTTTCATTTAAATGCAAGTTGTGTGATGTTTACAGGGGACCTGAGATGGCTTTGAACATTTGGCTTTTCTTGTGGAAGCGCACATCTTGGTAAGTTCACCTATGATGATGATTGCAACATTAGGGCTGAATCCCAATGAAGGTGGGAGATCAGATTTTCAAAATGAGATGGACAGAAACAGGGAGGAAACTGAGTTTTAAATTAGAAAGAGGTGCTGGCAAATGTGAATAAATTTCAATTCAGTATTTTTGGTATCTACATTCCCCCCTCCCTCCCCCTCTCCTTCCCCTCTCCAGGAGCCAAGCTTTTGTCTGAATCATCACCACCCAGGCATCCTTGTCGGTTCCAGGCTCTGGCTTCCCCACCTGCTTTGGAGGCACCTGAGTTTCCTAACCCAACAAGGCACAACAACACATGTGTATGTAAGAGAAGCGGACTGTGCTCTCTCTTTGATTTATACAAAATAAAACATTTTGCTTCTTGCATCTGAGTTTTTCCTCCTCCCTCTTTCCTGTCTGTGCTCAAGATGGCTTCAGGGAACCCTTCATGCTCTGAAAAATCCTATTGGGATTAGGAAGAGCCAACCATGGACATGACGTAATAGAAACCTAGGCAACTGCATTATACTGAGTCGGGCCACTGGTCCATCTAGCTCAGTATTGCCCACACTGACTGTCAGCAGCTGTGCAAGGTGCCAGGCAGGGTTCTTGCCCAGCTCTTCCTGGAAATAATAATAATAATAATATTTTTTTTTTATACCCCGCCCTCCCCAGCCAAGGCCAGGCTCAGAGCGGCTTACAAGCAATAATAAAAACAAGAAGAATGATTACAACTTAAAAACAAAAATAAAATACAACATTAAAATAATGGAACATTAAAATATTAAAATGTAGCCTCATCGCAGGAGGAGAAAGGAAAAGAAAAAAGAAAGAGAGGGAGGGAGGGAATCAAATTGGCTCCAAGCCAAAGGCCAGGCGGAACAACTCTGTCTTACAGGCCCTGCGGAAAGAAATCAGATCCTGCAGGGCCCTGGTCTCATGAGGCAGAGCGTTCCACCAGGCCGGAGCCAAAGTTGAAAAGGCCCTGGCTCTGGCTGAAGCCAATCAACTTCCTTAGGGCCTGGGACCACTAGGGTGTTGTTATTTATGGACCTTGAGGCTCTCCGTGGGGCATACCAGGAGAGGCGGTCCCGTAGGTACGAGGGTCCTAGGCCATGAAGGGATTTAAAGGTCAAAAGCAGCACCTTAAATCTGACCCTGTACTCCACCGGGAGCCAGTGCAGCTTGAAAAGCACTGGGTGAATATGCTCCCGTGGCAAAGACCCCGTGAGGAGCCTCGCTGCAGCATTCTGTACCCGCTGGAGTTTCTGGGACAGCTTCAAGGGCAGCTCCGCGTAGAGCGAATTACAGTAGTCAAGCCTGGAGATGACCGTCGCATGGATCACTGTGGCCAGGTCGGGGCGGGAAAGGTAAGGGACCAACTGCTTGATGCGGCGAAGGTGGAAAAATGTCGCCTTGGCTGTTGCTGTAACTTGCGCCTCCATGGAAAGGGAGGCGTCAAGGATTACACCCAAACTCTTAACAGAAGGCAATGGCACTAATTGGGCCCCCGCAAGAGAAGGGAGTTGGTCCCTCATCCCCATGCCATCCCGACCTAGCCATAGGACCTCTGTCTTCGAAGGATTTACTTTCAATCGGCTCCCACGAAACCATCCAGCCACAGCTTCCAAGCATCTGGTCAGTGTGTTTGGGGCTGAGTTGGTGTGGCCATCCATCAGCAGATAGAGCTGAATGTCATCAGCATATTGGTGACAGCCCAGCCCAAAGCTCCGGATAATCTGGGCAAGGGGGCACATAAAGATGTTAAAAAGCATCGGGGAGAGAATTGCGTCCTGCGGCACTCCACACACCAAGGAGTGACGCGACGACATTTCCCTCCCTAGTGCCACCCTCTGTCCCCGACCAGAGATAAAAGAGCACAACCAGTTACGGGCTATGCCCTGTATCCCCACGTCTGCGAGGCGGTGGTCCAGAAGATCATGATCGACCATGTCAAAGGCTGCTGACAAATCTAAAAGGATCAGCAGTCCTGACCCGCCTCGATCTAGTTGTCTACGGATATCATCTGTTAGGGCAGGGGTGTCAAACTCAAATTCATTGGGGGCCGCATCAGCAGTTTGGTCACCCTCAAAGGGCCGGTTGTATCTGTAGGACTATGTGTAAAGTGGAGGTTTCCTGTGTAGAACGGCCGGCGCCGCTAGAGGGCAGACATTCTCTGGCTTATAGGCTGCCGCGCATGCGCTGAAGAGGCGGCTTTCTTGTGTAAAAAAAAAAAAGCGAGAATAAAAGGTGAAGGCTGGCGGCCGGCGGCGGCTACACGGGCCACATGACGAGGTCTGGCGGGCCGGATTCAGCCCGCGGGCCTTGTGTTTGACACCCGTGTGTTAGGGCAACCAGAGCCGTCTCCGTCCCAAAACCAGGACGGAAACCGGACTGAAATGGATCTAATGCCGATGTTTCCTCCAGAAACCTACCAAGCTGTTCAGCAACCGCTCTCTCAATTACCTTACCCAGGTATGGAAGATTTGAAACTGGGCGGTAATTGGATAGGTCTAAGGGATCTAATGAAGTTTTCTTTAAGAGTGGACACACCACTGCTTCCTTCAGTTCCCCTGGGAATGTCCCCGTGTCAAGGGACAAATTGATAATTTCAACCAGGGGGGTCCGCACAACATCTGGACACTCCCTAATCAGCCAAGACGGGCACGGATCAAGGAGGCAAGTGGTGGGCCTACTAACTTGGAGGAATCTATCCACATCAGTAGGGAGTATCCGATCAAAATGGTCCGACACTGGACCTGAAGTGCTGGAGATTGAACCTGGGAGCTTCTGCAGGTAAAGCAGATGTTCTGCCAGTGAGTGACAGAACTGCATCACCAGCCAGTGCCCGCTACTGGAGCGGGTGGCGCTGTGGTCTAAACCACTGAGCTTCTGGGGCTTGCTGATCAGAAAGTCAGCAGTGCAAGTTCGTGCAACGGTGTGAGCTCCCGTTGCTCTGTCCCAGATCCTGCCAACCTAGCAGTTTGAAAACATGCCAGTGCAAGCAGATAAATAGGTTTCCATGCTCTCTGGCACTCGTCAAGGTGTCTCATTGCGCCAGAAGCACTTTAGTCATGCTGGCCACATGACCCAGAAAGCTATTTGTGGAGAAATGCCGGCTCCCTCGGGCTGAAGCGAGATGAGTTTGACTGGGCCTAACTGTCCAGAGGTCCTTTACCTTCTTTACTGACTGTCAGGGGGCCCAGAGAAATGTCCTTCCTATTCAGTGGGGCTTAGATCTACCTTACAGAGGAATCTTTCTGGTAGGAGTGGGGTAGGTCAGGATGGGGGTTGGGAGCTGGTTGGTTTCTCATAACAGAATGAAGAATGCCTGTACCTTTTGCCCCATATTTCAGGTCTTGCAACTGCTAGAAACCTACATGTTTTTTTAAAATGAAAGCTCGTAATCGGAGGGTTATGGTTGATGGATGCTCATGATAGAAATATGGCAGTTAAGGGTGGGAGGGATGAAGTTGGTGGTGGCAGGGGTGGGGTGGGGTGGGGGGACAAGTGGCCAGAGAATGAAGGACTGGGGGAGTTCAAATACAGGAAGAAGATGGCAGAAGGGCTGCAGCTCACCTGCTTTACCTGCAGATGGGCACAGGTGAGATCCTTGGGCTGTCATCTTCAGGCATGGCTGGGAGAGGCCCCCTGCCTGAAACCTTTGGAGAGCTGCTGCTAGTCAGTGTTGATAATACTGAGTTAGATGGCTTTATTCAGTATAATGCTGCTTCCACATTGGACCACCCTGATTTGTAGTCCTGCTGAAATGTTGCAACCTGTGTGTGTGTTTCATTGCTTACTGCGGCATTATAACACACACAAGTGTGTTTGTCAGTAGATCAATCCATCACCCTGACTTGCTGAAGAATTCTGCTTCCCTTTCTTTTGCTTTTTCTCTCTGCAGAAGAACAATTGCCTGCTGATCCCATACACATCAGGCCAGAATATTGCTCCAGTTGGATTGATTAAGAAAATACATTGCAGCAGGGAGAGGCTTCCAGAAGCTCAGCTTGGCAGAACTGGCGGGGGTGGGGTGGGGGTGGGATGGACGGATCCATCTTGCAGTGAAGGGTTTGCTGATGGCAGGGCTGCAGCAATTCTGCTGGCATTAGAGCAGCAGCAAAAGCATACCTGGGATTTCTCAAGAAGCTCACTAAATCTAGAGCACTGAGAAAAGCAGGGCATCTGTTCAGGCCCACCTTTGCTGCTGTTCCAATTCCAGGGACCAGTGGAGAGGCATCCTTTAGTTGAGCTTATGGGGCTGTTTTCAGGACTGAGGTTGTGGATGCCCTAAAGCATTTCCCCTGGAAGCAAGACACCAGCAGCTGGAGCAAAAGCAAGAATCAGGCCAGGCCACAAACAGTGACAGCAGCAGTCCCTGTGACACTTGTTTTCAGAAGGACATATGGGCATTATGCAGATTAGGACTTTGCTGTACATCACTTGAGCAATTGGCTGAATAGTCTATTCATGGACAAGGACACAGAATGCATCATCTGATAATATGATGATGGTATTCTTAAACCTACAGCCTGAGTGAAACATATTTTTTGAATAAGCAGGAGATACTATTATTCTTATTATTTACATAGGCAGTGTATACAGGCCTACTCACAAGAAACTTACAGAATTAACCGTTCCATTACAAACTGAATGATCCCTGCTTTTGCACTTCTAAAACAATCATATACACTGAGACTCAGAAGAAGGTCTCAGCTCCCAGGAAAATGGATATAGGATTGCAGCCTAAGAAGATGTGTCAAGAGCTATGTGGAAAATGTGCCCCAGGGTGGGGTGCAGGGAGGAAGCAGGGGCCATTATGCCATCTCCTGAGGCAACTCTTTTCCCAACATGTATATGCTAAACCATCATCTTCACCTATTGAAACATGAACAACAATTTTGAAATAATAATATTATGAGTCTGCGTCTCAAATCTATGGATTGTAGCTTGCCCATATAATCTAAAAAGAAATGTCCTTGATGCCTTGAGCACTTCCTTGATGCCAACTTGTGTGTTCTTCCCTGGCTTAGTTCCTAAGCAGAGGACAGGGCATCTGTTGTAGGATTTCCTGTCTGTGGGCATGTGCCTCTAACACCCTCAGGTCAATGACATTGACATCGTTAATGGAGTACTGTGTCCAGTTCTGGGCACCACAGTTCAAGAAGGACACTGACAAACTGGAACGTGTCCAGAGGAGGGCAACCAAAATGGTCAAAGGCCTGGAAACGATGCCTTATGAGGAACGGCTAAGGGAGCTGGGCATGTTTAGCCTGGAGAAGAGGAGGTTAAGGGGTGATATGATAAAAGGTAAAGGTAAAGGTACCCCTGCCCGTACGGGCCAGTCTTGACAGACTCTAGGGTTGTGCGCCCATCTCACTCAA